GATTTAGAGAGGGATATGCATTTTTTTGGGATGCAGAAGTTGGTTGGACACATTAGTGAGGTGAAAGGAAAGGGGTTCACATAGTAATCAGCTGCACATAGTAGGGGGATGAAGGGAGAGAACAGTACAAGGATACAGGAAGGGGGGGGGCACAAAATATTGGGGAGCATGATGATGCTGCATGCCGTAGATAAATGCAAAGAGGTGAATGTGGAAGAGGGTGCAGAAGGGGGAGAGGTGAACATTATATCCGGGTGCAGGGAAGGGTATGTACACTGTGTTGGGGTACAGACAATGAGGTGCAGGTATTATAAGGGTGCAGGGAGTTTTAGGGCGCAGGGAGTGAGGACATTACTGAAGTGTGCACAATAAAGAAGTATAAATATTATAGGGTTACACAGTTTTAGGGTGCAGGAGAGGAGATTTTTGGGGTACATACATTATTGGGCAGGGCAGAGTGTAAGGATGCAGAGGAGAGGATGACACATTATTGGGGTACATACATTATTGGGCAGCAGAGTGTCAGAGGACGGGATGACATTTTTGGGGTACATACATTATTGGGTAGCGCAGAGTGTCAGGGTGCAGAGGAGAGGATGACATTATTGGGGTACATACATTATTGGGCAGCAGAGTGTCAGGGTGCAGGAGAGCAGATGACACATTTTTGGGGTACATACATTGAGCAGCACAGAGTGTCAGGGTGCCGGGGAGGGGATGCACACATTATTGCGGTACATACATTATTGGGCAGCAGAGTGTCAGGGTGCAGAGGAGGGGGAATGACACATTATTGGGGTACAGGCATTATTGGGCAGCAGAGTGTCAGGGTGCAGGAGAGCAGATGACACATTTTTGGTGTGCATACATTGAGCAGCACAGAGTGTCAGGGTGCAGAGGAGGGGGAATGACACAATATTGGGGTACAGGCATTATTGGGCAGCAGAGTGTCAGGGTGCAGAGGAGAGGATGACACATTGGGGTTCAGACATTATTGGGCAGCACAGAGTGTCAGGGTGCAGAGGAGGGGGTGACACATTATTGGGGTACAGACATTATTGGGCAGCAGGGTGCCGGGGAGGGGATGCACACATTATTGGGGTACAGGCATTATTTGGCAGCAGAGTGTCAGGGTGCAGAGAAGGGGATGCACACATTATTGGGGTACATGCATTATTGGGCAGCAGAGTGTCAGGGTGCAGAGGAGGGGGATGACACATTATTGGGGTACAGGCATTATTTGGCAGCAGAGTGTCAGGGTGCAGAGGAGGGGATGCACACATTATTGGGGTACATGCATTATTGGGCAGCAGAGTGTCAGGGTGCAGAGGAGGGGGATGACATATTATTGGGGTACAGGCATTATTGGGCAGCAGTGTCAGGGTGCAGAGGAGGGGGATGACATTATTGGGGTACATGCATTATTGGGCAGCAGAGTGTCAGGGTGCCGGGGAGGGGATGCACACATTATTGGGGTACATGCATTATTGGGCAGCAGAGTGTCAGGGTGCAGAGGAGGGGGATGACACATTATTGGGGTACAGGCATTATTTGGCAGCAGAGTGTCAGGGTGCAGAGAAGGGGATGCACACATTATTGGGGTACATGCATTATTGGGCAGCAGAGTGTCAGGGTGCAGAGGAGGGGGATGACACATTATTGGGGTACAGGCATTATTTGGCAGCAGAGTGTCAGGGTGCAGAGGAGGGGATGCACACATTATTGGGGTACAGGCATTATCGGGCAGCAGAGTGTCAGGGTGCCAGGGAGGGGGGTGACACATTATTGGGGTACAGGCATTATTTGGCAGCAGAGTGTCAGGGTGCAGAGGAGGGGATGCACACATTATTGGGGTACAGGCATTATCGGGCAGCAGAGTGTCAGGGTGCCAGGGAGGGGGGTGACACATTATTGGGGTACAGACAGGTGTCAGCTGCTCACCCATTGATGTCTGTGACCAGCCGGGTGCCCAGCACACACACCGCCTGCAGTCTCTGGCCCCTCTCCAACCGCAGCGTCCGACTCTCCATCTTCACTCCGACTCACCCTGTGCACCGGAGAGCTGCGAGCGCTGGAGACCATCCTGGCCACACCCACCGAGGCAAAGGGGGCGGGGGCGGGATGACGACACCCGGGAGGGAGGGGTTGCAGCCCTAACTATAGAATCTTCTCCGTGTATGGAGAGAAGACTCATCCGGCCATGTCTCTTCTATACCTCATGCATTGTATATGGGGTGCGATACAGGGGATGGGGATGAGGCATTCTTCAAGGGGGGGGGGTCACCATCTTCACAGGTGTGGCACTACAAGTCCCAGCATGTCCTGTATGGTGGGGAGCATTCAGAGATGGGTGATAGTTGCAGTAACCCATGGCAACCAATCAGCAGTTATGTCTATGCATTGCTATATAGCAAAAAACTACAAATCCCAGCGTGCATCCAGCATGCCTTGCTGTGAGTTGTAGTGCTTCTCCACCCAGAGCTGTGCATCCTCATCCAGAGACAGCAGCCAATCAGATGTATCAGTTCAGAGCAGTAGAAACAATGAACGCTGATTTCTGATTGGCTGCTATGCACAGCTGTAAAGACAGAGCACCCCCCCCCACCCCACCCCCGTCTATTTGCTGCAGGTCAGTACAATACATAATACATGACCACAGCCTATGTCAGAGATATAAATGCCTAATCATCCCATCTCCACACAAGGTAAATCCGCTGACGCATTCTGCGCCGGCCCTGTGCGCGGTGACTTAAAGGGTGAGTCCATCCCAAAGTGATGTTTCAGTTATAGGTGGAATCTGGTGGACGGCGTCCATTGCCTCTAGAAGCTGCCGCGCTCCCCGTCCTCCCGGGCCGTGGGAGCCAGGAATTTGCCGCGTGCGTCTACGGAGGACGATCCGAACCCAAACGGGGCAGAAACCATCATAATGGCGCCTTTTGTTCCCCTCATAGATGGACGGAGCTGAGAAATTCCGCCCTCAGCATCTCAGCAGATGTCCGGAGATAGCGGGCTCCGCGTCACGCGACATTCTCCCCATGAAAACAAGTGGCTTTATAAATACAAGCAGTGTGAGTATCCGAATGTGACCCGCTATCGGCCTCCTACATTCCCTGTACAGCAGGGCTGGCGCGTGAGAGGAAGAAGCAGCACAAGGAGGCAATCAGTTTATGTGCTGACAAGAAGCATGCTCATAGTGGGAGAGAGCAGAGGGACAGAGAGCTGAGTTATCAATGTGCTGCTTCTCCAATCACAGGCTGGGGGTGGATCCAGGATGACCTGGGCTCAGAAGAAGTGGGTTGAATGATGCCGGACATCAGACTGAGGACATCTAGCGGCAGAAAAAAAAAAGTGCTGCGGGGGAAATCTCTGGCTTTTCCTCCAATGTCGCACTTTTCACCTTCGTAGGCCAGGTTCATATTTGCCCTATCCGTCACCGCGCACAAAACCACGTGGATTGCCGCGCGGTCACGGAGTCGCACACCACCGCTGATCTCGCTGGTGGTGCCGTTCCCTCCTAACGGCACCCCAGTCACGCCGGGCGGATCGCGTGGTTTACCGCCGCAATTTCCGCCCCGTGCTTCCGAACACGACCCGCGCGGCTTTAACCCCATTATAATCAATAGGGCTGCGCGGCAACTGCACACGATCGGCGTGGTCCCGGGACGCGATTCCCAGGTCTGCTCCGGCACTCATCATTGAAGACTTTTCACCAGCCTATAGTATTCACCAGCCTATAGTATGCACCAGCCTATAGTATTCACCAGCCTATAGTATGCACCAGCCTATAGTATTCACCAGCCTATAGTATGCACCAGCCTATAGTATTCACCAGCCTATAGTATGCACCAGCCTATAGTATTCACCAGCCTATAGTATGCACCAGCCTATAGTATTCACCAGCCTATAGTATGCACCAGCCTATAGTATTCACCAGCCTATAGTATGCACCAGCCTATAGTATTCACCAGCCTATAGTATGCACCAGCCTATAGTATTCACCAGCCTATAGTATGCACCAGCCTATAGTATTCACCAGCCTATAGTATGCACCAGCCTATAGTATTCACCAGCCTATAGTATGCACCAGCCTATAGTATTCACCAGCCTATAGTATGCACCAGCCTATAGTATTCACCAGCCTATAGTATGCACCAGCCTATAGTATTCACCAGCCTATAGTATGCACCAGCCTATAGTATTCACCAGCCTATAGTATGCACCAGCCTATAGTATTCACCAGCCTATAGTATGCACCAGCCTATAGTATTCACCAGCCTATAGTATGCACCAGCCTATAGTATTCACCAGCCTATAGTATGCACCAGCCTATAGTATTCACCAGCCTATAGTATGCACCAGCCTATAGTATTCACCAGCCTATAGTATGCACCAGCCTATAGTATTCACCAGCCTATAGTATGCACCAGCCTATAGTATTCACCAGCCTATAGTATGCACCAGCCTATAGTATTCACCAGCCTATAGTATGCACCAGCCTATAGTATTCACCAGCCTATAGTATGCACCAGCCTATAGTATTCACCAGCCTATAGTATGCACCAGCCTATAGTATTCACCAGCCTATAGTATGCACCAGCCTATAGTATTCACCAGCCTATAGTATGCACCAGCCTATAGTATTCACCAGCCTATAGTATGCACCAGCCTATAGTATTCACCAGCCTATAGTATGCACCAGCCTATAGTATTCACCAGCCTATAGTATGCACCAGCCTATAGTATTCACCAGCCTATAGTATGCACCAGCCTATAGTATTCACCAGCCTATAGTATGCACCAGCCTATAGTATTCACCAGCCTATAGTATGCACCAGCCTATAGTATTCACCAGCCTATAGTATGCACCAGCCTATAGTATTCACCAGCCTATAGTATGCACCAGCCTATAGCATTCACCAGCTTATAGTATTCACCAGATTATAGTATTCACCATTTTATAGTATTCACCAGTTTATAGTATTCACCAGCCTATAGTATTCACCAGCTGATAGTATTCAGCTTATAGTATTCACCAGATTATAGTATTCACCAGATTATAGTATTCACCAGTTTATAGTATTCACAAGCCTATAGTATTCACCAGATTATAGTATTCACCAGATTATAGTATTCACCAGAGTGAATCCGCTTCACATGGGAGGAGACGAGGACAGAACAAAGCAGAAAAAGAAAAGATTTGTAAATATCCCGGAGAGGAAATTCTGCTGTTGTGTCTCGAGTTCCACGGATCAGGAAACGGTGACAACGTGATGAGACAATGAGAGCTCAGAGCTCCCGCCGTCCATTTTATAGTATTCACCAGTTTATAGTATTCACCAGCCTATAGTATTCACCAGCTGATAGTATTCAGCTTATAGTATTCACCAGATTATAGTATTCACCAGATTATAGTATTCACCAGTTTATAGTATTCACAAGCCTATAGTATTCACCAGATTATAGTATTCACCAGATTATAGTATTCACCAGATTATAGTATTCACCAGAGTGAATCCGCTTCACATGGGAGGAGACGAGGACAGAACAAAGCAGAAAAAGAAAAGATTTGTAAATATCCCGGAGAGGAAATTCTGCTGTTGTGTCTCGAGTTCCACGGATCAGGAAACGGTGACAACGTGATGAGACAATGAGAGCTCAGAGCTCCCGCCGTGCCAGCCAGAGACGTCTCACACTACACACCAAGCTGACCTGGCGGAGACAGTGCCCAGTGTGACCGCACTCCATCCACTCACTGCACTCATCACATCCAGCAAGAGAGAGGGAGAGAGAGGGAGAGAGAGGGAGAGAGAGAGAGAGAGAG